CCCCGCCCCGCCCCGCCCGCGGCCAGGCCCACCACAAGTCAGGCCTCTGCCCCGCCCGTCAGTTGTCGTGCACAAAGTGGACCAGCCCGGCCTCTAGTCAGTCGAGCGCGGCCAGCGCGGCAAACGCCTTGTCCTCCTCTCGACGCTCCCGGCCTCTGCCCCGCCGCCAGTCCTCGCAGGACGATCAACAGGTCTCCCCCGCGCACCCGCGCCGCTCCGCGCACAGCCCGCCGCCCCGCGCAGACACGACAGGTCGCGACAAGTCCCGACTAGCCGCAGCCCGCAGCCGCGCGCAGAAGAAGAGGGAAGTTCGCTCGGCCTTCTGCACGTCCACTGCACCGCTCTCGAGGACGCCCCCGAGGACGGCTCGACCATGACCTCCATTCTGCAGCGTCTCTCAAGGTAAGACAGGTCGTGACGTGACCACCACCACCAACGGCACACAAAGGCAGCGCGCTGCACCTCCGCGTGACCCAGTCGCTGTCGCCCCTGCTCCGTCTGTGACGTGGTACTTCTCACCTGTGCGGCACCCACCATGCACCGAGCTGCAACGGGACTTACTTGTGACACTCGGCCGCCCGTACGTCTCGCACCCCGACCCTTGACGCCCACAAAATACGTGTGGTACACTCGCTAATCATTTGTTTGTCATCGCGAAAACCCGCTGTGTAGTATCTCGTGTGGCGCGCCGCGGCGAGGACGAGGCGGCCCGGGCCAGTCTGCTCTGGTTCCGATCAGCTGACTGCTGCAGGTGCGCCGGGACCCTTCCTCAAGGGCCCCGCCGGCCCCGCCGGCCCCGCCGGCCCCGCCGGGGGCCCCGCGCACGACCGGTCCGCTGTCCGCCCGCGGCCGCATGCCGCCCGCGAGTGTGGGCCCGGACAAGGTTTCAGCCGCTTATATAGGTTTCTGGTCGATCACGGCACCACGGCGGCGACGTGTATAATGCGATTTGCTTCTTCCGTTTTGCGCGGCGAGGCATGTCGTCGTGTCGTAAAAGTGCGGCGGGGGTGGAGGGAGAGGGAGGAGAGGGGTGGTGTGGGGCTCTGGTCGGGCTTCTCTGCGGCCGGTGGAGGGCAGTAGTA